CAGTCACTTCAAGGATGCCATCCATCCATCTTGCCCTTGGTCGGCCCCTCTTCCTTTTGCCTTCCACTTTCCCCAGCATAATTGTCTTCTCTAGTCTTTGCTGTCTCCTCATGATGTGGCCAAAGTATTTCAACTTTGTCTCTAGTATCCTTCCCTCCAATGAGCAGTCGGGCTTTATTTCCTGGAGGATGGACTGGTTGGATCTTCTCGCAGTCCAAGGCACTCTCAGAACTTTCCTCCAACACCACAGCTCAAAAGCATCGATCTTCCTTCGCTCAGCCTTCCCTAAGGTCCAGCTCTCACATCTGTAGGTTACTACAGGGAATACCATGGCTTTGACTATGCGGATCTTTGTTGCCAGTGTGATGTCTCTACTCTTTACTATATTACAGATATATAAACCCTTTTTCCTAGTTCCAACAGACCTCACTACCTCTGAGGATGCTTGCCATAGATGCAGGCGAAACGTCAGGAGATAATGCCTCTAGAACATGGCCATATAGCCCGAAAAAACCTACAACAACCCAGTGGTTTTATGGTTTGATATTTTAAAAATTATTGTTTTAATGTATATGTTTATTTTACTATGTATGTCCAGATGGCATCGAATTTCTGCCTATATATGTAAGCCACCTTGAGAAGGGCGGGGGTATAAATATGGTAACTAAATAAATGACCTCACGCTGTTAAGGCGAGCTGTGAAAGGGAGCTAAAGATGAAACAAAACAAAACAAAACATGGGGTGGAGGTCGAGAGAGGCTGCATCCCATTCAAAATGAGGAAGCAGCTGCCAGGAAAAAGGGAGCCACCTGTCAGGATAACAGGTGAGCCTTCCGCCCGCAAAGGAGACAGACAGCGAGGCTGCGTCTACACTGTACAAGTGGTGCAGTTGGATAGCGCTGTACCCCTTGTCCTTCCTTCCTTCCTTCCCGCTTGCCCGGGGCCTACCCCGCCGCGCCGCTTCCCTGCCTTACCGGCCTCGTCTTCGTCGATGCGCAGGGCGGTGGAGATGCACTCGAAGGCGCGCTTGTGGCAGGCCCGCACCGTCTCGGGCGCGTCTCCTCCCCCGGCCGTCCTGCCGGCGGCGGGGCTGCCTTTGGCGGCGGCCATGAGGGCCCCGCCGCGGGAGAGGCGCTCGCAGAGCCAGGCGAAGAGCAGCCCCAGCTGGAAGGCCAGGAAGCGGAGCAGCGCGAAGGCGGCGAAGAGCGGGTAGGAGAAGTAGAAGAGGTTCCGCTGGTGAGGCGAGGGCGAGAGGGGCGGCGGAGAGGGAGCCACCGCCGCCGCCGCCGCCGCCGCCTGACGAGGGAGCCGCGGGGAAGGAGCCGGCCCGGCCGCGGGAGAAGGCGGGCGGGAGGCCCCGGCGCGAGTCGGGGAGCTGGAGGCGGCCAAGCCTGTCTTCTTCCCTCTCCCGCCCGGAGAATTCATTCACCACCGCCGTGGCCGCCATAACCCTCTGCCGGGGACTGGACACCACCCGCCATCGGCCCAGGCTACGCCCCTTGCGCTCAGCCCCCTTCCAGCCTGAGGCGCGCGCGCGCACGAAGGCAACGCCGCAAACTCGCTTCCTGAATAAGAAAGCGACGTAACGGTCGCTCGCTCGCTCGCGGAGCCGGCACGAGCGCTATTGTTCCTCTGCGCCTGCGCAAACCTGCCGAGGCGACAATAGGGGGCGGGGTCGACGTACAAAAAGAGAAAGAGAAAGAGAGAGAGGAAGGAGCCGACCAATCCCGTCAAGGAATTCGAGGAACAGCTGCTAGTCGGCGAAAGAGGCAGCTGTGGAGCCGTAGAATACATCAGGGAGGCCCCACTCCTTTTTGTGTGTGCGGAAGCGATGCACTCTGGGTAATGTAGTCATTCAGTAAGAGAACGAATGTGCTACGAAAGGGGAGTTAAGAAGGTGTGAGTCCATTCTAGGATGCAAAATGAACGCAGTTTGGCACCCTCGCTCGAACTGCCATAGCTCCATGCTGTGAAATCCTGAGAGCTGTCCTTTGGTGAGGCACCATCACTCTGTGGCAGAGAAGGCTAAAGGACTTGTAAAACTGCAACTCCCGTGATTTCATAGCATTGAGCTTCTGGTCGCTTCTGGAAGCTCAATGCTATGACATCTCCAGCTCATCCCCTGTTTGTATATCAGCCAGCACGTCAACGACTTAAATCAAGACATAGTTTTCTAAGATCTACAGAGACAATCACTGGAACACCTCAGAAAGCAAGAATCCAAAAGTAGCAGGCTCAAACCTAGAACCTCAACCAATGGCTGATACCAAATGAGAGACTCCCCCCTGGGCACACAGAAGACTGGGCGACTTGGAAGGCGCTGAACAGACTGTGCTTTGGCACCACGAGATGCAGAGCCAATCTCAAGAAATGGGGCCACAAAGTGGAATCCACGACATGCGAGTGTGGAGAAGAGCAAACCACTGACCACCTGCTGCAATGCAACCTGAGCCCTGCCACATGCACAATGGAGGACCTTCTTGCGGCAACACCAGAGGCACTCCAAGTGGCCAGATACTGGTCAAAGGACAATTAACCAACTACCAAGCTTGCAAACTTTGTGTTTTGTTTGTTCGTTTGTTTTTAAAAAATGAAATAAAACTGTTCGGTTTGCTCCTGGCATGATAAACAAATAGCATTAAGCCACAGCAGTCAAAGCGGTGTTGATTTACCCGAAATGAGTGCTTCATCACACTAATAATAATAATAATAATTTATTTATTTATTTGATCAGTCATATGACCATTTCAAAATACAACATGAGTAAAAGACAAGGCAAATAGGTGAGGACAGCAGCTGACTTTCTTATTTACAGTCAGTCTTATTTTCCTGGTTCTTTCAGGAAATGTGCTCTTTTCTTGAGGGCTTTTAGAATAAAAAGACTTACTCTGATTATGGTGGATCTTTATTGTCCTTGCAAGAGGAATGTCAGAAGATCATTTCTTTTGCAGGACCTGCAGTTGGATAATATTGGATGTAAATGCCTATATCACAGTTCAGTATATGCTGGACAGTCAATTCAGAAATGTTTGATATCTTCCACAGTTTGTTCTCCCCATACACAGAATCTCTCACCTAGCAACAGCCAATCTGCTTCACTCCCTTTTTATTCCCATTCATGTGACAGAGAGGGTCACTTCACTTAGCAACAGCCAATCCATTTCCTTTTCTTTCCCTCTACACTGGGCCCCAAAAGGATGATTTTCATTTATTGTAAACCCCTCAATTATTTTAAGTCAGATAAAGAAGTGTGTGTGTTCCAGCTTGGGTCCAGATCCATCAAGCCATGGAGGAGCTTTTGTGGTACAAATGGACAAACCAACAAGCAAACAAACCAACAAACTGACATACATATACTTTTATTATTGGATAATCAAACAACATTACCAAATGAAGGATTATGACTTGCCAAAATCATAACCTATTGGATTATGACCAATTGGGAAAAACATAATATTTATATCTTTTAAGAAAACAAACCACATTTATTTATGCTTGGCAATTGGTTTTCAGCTGCTAGACTGACTTCCAGGTGACTCTGAACTATTTGGAACAGAGAATATGCCAATGCACTATAAGTATTGTTTAGTGTTCAAAAACATCTACTCTATAAATATCCTGTTTCTATTTCATGCTCTCAGAAGACAAAAATTCAAATAGACTTCTTTAAAAATAACATGTTTATTTTACTCACAACTTTATGTATTTAAAGATACAGGTACATTTCTTGTCAGTTTAAACTTCAAAACATTTCAGCTTGTGTCTTTAACTCTGTCTTTATCAGTCTCTTCAACACTATACAGCTCTGTGCAACTCTCATTTATAACTGTCTACTTTCAACTGTCATCTTTTAACTGTGTTCTAAACAGTCCCTGATCTGGCCACATGGTCTGCAGCCCCTCCCACAACCTCAAGAACATAAGAGTCAGGAAAAACTGCATATCAAAGAACACATATACACTTCAGTAATCAAACAGCACATTATATACAGACAAATCATTAAACAGGAGGATTGCCTATTTCCAACATTTAGAGAGAGAGAGTGAGAAATGAAAACAGCTTTGTGAATGCACTGTGTATTTTTTTTCCTCTATTCTTTTGGCGGATAATTGATAGTTCCATTTGGTTGCATTCTGGTTGACTGAGAGTCTGCTGTACTATTTCGTTGAAATATGGGAATGGAAACCCACCATATTTGCATAGATTGAGACAGGTATCAGAAAGTTCAAGTTTGCTGAAATTTATCCTTAAATGCAAACTTTTCATTGTATAAAAGAAAAAAGTATGTTCCGAGCTTGTGTTTATTATATTCTCCGCAGAATTCAGTTTGATCATCTTAGAGGCCATAGACTGACTTAAACAAAAAAAGGTAAAATATATTTAGTGTTATAGGTAAGCCAGGTTTATGTTTCAGAAGACAACTTGAGGACATTTAAATCCATTTCAGTTCAATTGAAGGGTGCAGATTCCATCTAGATGGCCGACGAGGTCTCTTCCAACTCTATGATTCCCTCCTGTTGAATGCCCTTTCTTTTATTGTTTGGCTTACTGGTTTTATTAATAAACAGAGACCTATCTCCATCTGCCTATGCTTTGGATATAGAAAGATGCCATCCACTGCAGAATTATAGCTGCCTGACACCACTTTAGCTGCCATGGCTCCATCCTATGGAATGCTGGGATTTGTGGTTTGTGTAGGAAGGAAGAGAAAGGAAGGAAAAAAATTATGAGAAGGAAGGAAGGAAGGAAAGAACAAGAAAGAAGGGGTGGAGGGAAAGATCCGAAAGAAGGAAAACAAGAGAAAGAAGAAAAAGCTAAATACTTCACACAAAAACCACAAGCCCCAGATTTCCATAGCATTGAGTGTCAAGGCTCTATAACTGCAGCGTTTTTACAAAAAAAATCCCCAAACACCGCCTTTCCCCAATGCCCTCCCTCTCCCTTTCTGGAAAACAAGCCAGCTCTCATTATTGCGCAGGCGCAGCAAGAGCTCCGTCACTCCGGACGTTGCATTACGACAGTCTCCCTCTTTTACGGCACAAGGCTTCACGGCAACCGAGGCTGCTGGCAGGGCGTTTGTTTCTCTTGTTGCTCCGCGACGGTCACTTGCTCGCCGGTTTGACTCCGCAGGGTTGAGGCACTCGAGAGCGGGGTCTAGAGGAAAGGTAGGCCGCTGGGCTCCGGCTCTGAGGGCGGGGTGGGGGAGGCCCATTGGCTCCCTCCATTGGCTCCCATCCCTTCCCCCCTTGAATGTGATCGCCCGACTTCCATGAGGGTTAAGGTGTAAAACTTTACAGTGTAAAATGAATGCCATTCGACACCACTCAGTCTTGGGAACTGTGGTTTTACAAGGTCGTTGGGCCTCTCTGCCTAAGGGTGCTGAGGCCTCAACAAACTATAACTCCCAGACTTCCATAGCATGGTAGTTAAATGTTGTCCAGCTGCACGAATTTTACATTGTAGATGCACCTATAGAAAGGGAGGTGAATAAAAAACTTTATTGAAAGCTGAGCAGGAAAATTAATTGCTTTTTTGGAGGGGTTTTTTTTTTTGGTCTGTTTTGGAACATCTCTTCATTGCAGTGTAATAATGAGTGGAGCTTTTGTTTGGATACATAGACACTTCCTTGGGAGTAAGGCCTGTTGAAATAAAGGAAACTTACCTAAAATAAGTATGGAAGAGCTTCTAACAAAACTTTACAAGAGTGGTTCTCAACCTGTGGGTCCCCAGATGTTTTGGCCTTCAACTCCCAGAAATCCTAACAGCTGGTAAACTGGCTGGGATTTCTGGGAGTTGTAGGCCTAAACACCTGGGGACCCACAGGTTAAGAACCAGTTTTACAACATTGTTGTAAAATAACATTGCACCTCCATGATTTTCTCTGCTGTTTTGCAAGATAATATCTATAATAGCTTCTCTGACATGATTTCTTGGGGAGGGGGTAGAGGTAAAACATTTTTGGCTGGAGTTCCTTGAGACCTGAAAAATCATTACAAAGGTTCCTTCCAGGTAAAAAAGGCTAGTTTAAAGGATGAATTCAAATAGTTAAATCAATTTGTCATCTTCCCAAGGTAAATTGAATTCTAGTTTTTATATGAAATAATATAATTGACAAGAATTCTTTTAATAAGAACATTTGAATTCGTTTTAATTGATTCCCACGAGTTCCTAACATTTGGGATGTTAGATGTATTTTACATGTCAGCTTTCAAAACCACATTGCAGTATAATTAGCAATATGCTTTCCTTGTTTTTCCTTCCAAGACTACTTTACCTTTGCTGAAGTCTACACATCATGGACACAGAACAGCCTATGGAGGCCCAGCCACAGGTAAGGCTCTATATATATATATATATATATATATATATTCCCCTTAATGCTCCTAGTTTTATCATTTTTTCAATATTTGGTTTTCATTTTAAATCATCTGTTGTTTTATAGGTTCCTGAAAACCCTCATGCAGAATATGGTCTAACAGAGAATGTAGAGGTAAGAATTAGTTTTTTGTCTTTTGTTTTATGTAATTGCGTTATTATTGTTTATTATTTGCATTTTCAGTTTTGTTTTATTTCATGTAATTGTTGTTTTGGGCTTGGCCTCATGTAAGCCGCACTGAGTCCCCATTGGGGAGATGGAGCGGGGTACAAATAAAGTTTATTATTATTATTATTATTATTATTATTATTATTATTATTATATTAGTTCTTAAAATCATTTCTGGCACTGTCTTACATAATTTCCTTAAGTGTCTAATGGTCGGTGCTCGTTAGTACTTGGATGGAAGGCCACCAATGAATCCCAGGTGCTGTGGACTATATTGTGCAGGAAGAAACTGTCAAAACCACCTCTGAGTATTCTTTGCCTTAAAAATCCTATGAAATTCATGGGGTTGCCATAGGTTGAAAGGGCAATTGAAAGTATGCACACACATATAACGGTAATTTGTGTAGTTGATGTGAATGGGAGTATATTGATTTATGATAGGCCGATTTTCTGGTCATGTTTTCTTGCATTCATTGTGGGAAAATGTATGAAATAGTGTTAAATAACCTGTGTTGAGCAGGCAGAACATAATGTACTACATGCACAGTTCCATGTCCTACACACTCTGGTGGTTTTAATACTGCAAGGGGATTTTGTGATTTCAATGTATAAGATGTTTTCAATTCTATATTTTAATTTTAAATTTATGTTTATGTTCTATGTTTAATATGATTTTAAGGTTTAATTTATAGTTACATGTTATTGTTTTAGTTATTCTTTGGTTTGTATACATGTTGGCATTAAATTTTGCCATTACTTGTTGTACACTACTTTGAATCCCCTCAGGGGTGAGAAAAGCGGTATATAAATGCAATAAATAAATAAGGGGACCCTACTGTAACTGCTCACTGGTGGTGCAGTGGAGAGGGAGGAATGGAGGAAGCATTTCAGATCATGAAGAAGCAGCTGGTGTCATATCAATGGGTGGAAAGAAGCAAAGCTATGCTTGCAGATTCAATGCATCCTCTTTTTCTTTGCCATGGGAACTTAGATAGTCCCATCTTCATAATCTGAATTGCTTCCCTCTCTTCTTCACCAATAAGCAGTAACAGCAGTACTCCTGGAGTTAGGCTGCTGTTGGGAGGTTTTGTCTGAAACACAAAGGTTTAACATCTCCTTGTACTCCATCCAAAAGAGCACATAAGTCACTAACAGTAAACCACCTAATGAGTGTCAGAGTTTTGTTTTACCTGTTCTTTAAAAAATAATTCAAGACTGGTTATTCAGACATGAGCTTACAATGTTATATAAAAATATAGACACAGTGCTGTACAAAAGTATAGAAACTTACAATGAAGTTATTTATGAAGATTATTTTAATTTTGTATGCTTTTGGATGCAAAACAACTGTGAATTCACTATTTGAAGGACTAAATATTCCACATAAAAATCCATGATATGAGTCTGTTAAAGAGAGCCAGGCAACAATACTCTAAATGTTTTACTTATTGTTCATCTGTACTGTGGAATTAATGCAGTCTGTCACCACTTTAACTGCTCTGGCTCCCTACTCTGGAATACGGAGAGTTGTAGTTGAGGCATCAGCATTATTTATTATTTAGCAGAGAAGGCTAAAACCCTTGTAAAACTACAGATCCCACAGCTCTATAACATTGAACAACACCCATTAAAATGGTGTCAACCTCATTAATTCTACAATAAATATAAATCCACAGTGATAAATCTTCAAGGAATGAGTAAACTTTGATTTTTGGTGCTTTGTCTGGCTTGTTACAGAACATATATTTATTTCAGTAAACTAATCACATGGATTTTTATTCACTTTGTGGCCAGTTTAGTTCAAAACTACAGGGCTTGATGTTTTCAAGTACAATATTTATGTTATTGTCATGAAGTACATGTTTTATATTTTAAGCGAATAGTGGAAAATGAGAAGGCAAATGCAGAGAAAACATCAAAGCAGAAAGTGGATCTTCAGGCATTGCCTACACGTGCCTACCTGGATCAAACAGTAGTGCCTATCCTACTACAAGGACTTGCGGTGCTTGCAAAGGACAGGTATGCCGATTTTTATAGCATTTCATTTGTAACAACAAATATAACTTATACTTGGATATGTTATACAGACCTAGCTTTTACAAAAATTAGATAGGGTGGCAATTTTCTCTTTGGATATATTGTTCCTAATTGTACATACAAATTCTCCTTTACACAAAACACTAAATGTTCTTGATATTCTAGTTAAAGGATTTGAGGAAAGCATAGTGAAGAAGGTTCATCCATATGAGTTTCTCTCCAGAGTTTAAAATAGTGTAGTGTATATCCAATTTTATTATTCCATTTGATTTTTCAGTGATGGATTAAATTTAAAAATGAGAATTTTCCGGAGGCTTAATAATGTCTACCTTGGAGCAGTTAGAATTACACCTGTCATCAGCCTTAATTAATTCAACACTATAACTGTCTTATTAAATAGAAAACTGAAGTCTGATTTGAAAAACCTGAAAAACAACATTTTTTACCTTTGCTTTGATTGTATATTGTTACATTATCACAATTTCTTCTCCTCCCTTTACAGAAAGAGTGCTGTAGGGAGAAAGGGGTGGTGAAAGCTCTTAGAGCCAAGTATTCTCTGTTCACACCTTTCCTTCCTTTTGAAGTATGTCCAGAAAAGATATAACCAGTTTTCTCTACGTTCTTCCTCCCACCTTGAGTCTCTTTAGGGAGAAAGGTGGGATAAAAATAAATTAAGTAAATAAATAAAAGCAAGAAAGGGCTGAAATAGACAAACTCTGTGGAAATTGAAATACTGCTGACTGCACTACTTTGCCTGAAGGAATATCTCCTAAAATGTATTTTCTCTTAGTTAAAAATAATCAGATCAAATGTTTTAAATAGACCAGCCATTCTTCACAATATTAAAATTTAGTCTGTATAGGGATGGAAAACCTTTAGTCCAGGGAATTCTGGCAGTAGTGCCTTTCTATCTTAGCCGTCGGTTTCCCTCTTCCAACACCCTCACTTTATGTGTTTAGCTGAAAAACACAGGGGCTGTCAGAGGACTAACAGATTGCTCTGTCCCTTTGTTTCTGAGTTGGCTAAACCAGGAGGAATCACAAGGAGGTTCTTCTTTTCCTTTGCAGCTGGCATGGAGGCAGAATGAGCTGCCAGCAGAGGGTCAGAGTAGCTTGTCTTTCCTCCGACAACTCCTATGTTTCTATTCTGGCCATTGAGGAAAGGAAGCTTTTTTGGCCAGCAAAGAAATCAAGCAAGCTAGCAGCAGAGGGCATGGAGCATTAAAGACACAGGGTGCTATTAATCCGGAGAAAATACAGTGTGCATTAATGGGGACCAGGGAGCATAAAGGATCTCAAAGAAGGGCTATGGTGAGAAGTCATGGGATGCAAAGATAGAACTTGGCACCACATAATGAAAGATATTAGTATTCAGGATGGATCAAAAACAGGGCTCCCACCTGTTGCCAGCTCTGGCTTCACACAATGCCACCACTTACATTAACTCTGTTAGAAATGAAGTTCCCCTTTCTGTGAAAGAAGAGAAAGAAATATATATAAACATTATCTTTTAAAATGTAAATGCTGTCAAATAATCATATCTTGAAGTAAAACACATACTTGAAGTTAAAAACTAGTTTATGTAAGAAATTACTTCTGTTTTCTTTTTCTTTTCAGACCACCAAATCCTATTGAATATCTGGCAGCATTTCTGTTAAAAAATAAGGCACAGTTTGAGGACCGAAATTGATTTCATCCAAAGAAGACCATTTGCTTGTTCAGCATATATGCTAAATAAACATGAATCATTGATCGGTGTATAAATCCTACAGAACCAAAATCCTCATTTGCTTGTCATTCCTTGAGCCTTTTCTTGTATTATTTAATAAAGTATTACGTTTTATAATCTTATTTGTTTTAAGCTAGCATTCACACAGAAAAGCATCCAAAGTAAAGTCATGGAAATTTTCAGTTTGGTAAATAGTTTATATCATTCCTTGTTCACAGTCCTGCACACATTTGCTTGAGTGTAGCTTCCTGTGACTTCAGTTAGGCCTATACATGGGGTTGTTCTGCATTATGATAGCCCTCACAACATGTCACATTTACATACAGCAATTGTAGCTTGTTTTAGAGTGAAATAGAAGAATCTTGATTCAGGCAGTGTCAAGTTGTCAACTCAAAGAAACAAAAGGAAAAATCCTGTTAAATCTAATGCCATGAGCTAGACTCCAAAGAGAGTTTGAAGTTCCTGTTGCAGTGAAGCAACTGAGTATCCCAAAATGTGTTGTGGAGCTGAAGAACAGATATTATGCAAACAACACTCAGGCTGGAACTGAAGACTTTTAACCAGAGTTTTTATAACTCTACCCTGGAAACAGCTGCAGGCTAGTTATCAAAGACAAGATCTTATTCCTAAATAACCCATTTCTTATGAAGAGTTATTTATGGGTGGAGGCGCCACTTAATATGGGAGCCATCCCATTCTCCAACTTAAAACACCTGTATTCCCTCTGACCAGATTGTAGCACAGCTTCTACTACTAAATCAAAAAATGGGGATCTGGATCTTGAGATAATTGGGATGCTTTCTGTTCTGAGGCCCAGGAGCAATCTGATCTGTCTCCCAGTCTGAAAGTCTGGAAACTGATTCCTCAGATTGGTCAGATTGTGGAGCTTTACATCTTCTTCTAAAGAAGATTCCTCGAGAATAGAGGAATCCTCACCTGAACCTGGTATTTGTTGACAGTCTCCTATACAGAGCTGACCAACTTTGCTTCCAAGGTAGGATGGGACCTGATGCCTTTATGTTCTAAATTCATAACATTCATCTGTTTAAAGCATTCAAAGGGTTGATTCTGAAACTGCTCTGCTGGTGTAAGTCTCATTAAATGGCTTTTACCAAACATTATCTACCAGTTGAGGTATGAGCATCCCTAAAGGAAATTTACTTATGGTACATAAATGTGCTTCCTGTTTAGTTACATTGGAAGAAAGAGTACCTGAAAGTATATTGACTGATCAGCTTCAATGTTAGGTTCGCTCTTTGCTTCTTAGTACAGAGACTGCCATATCCCAGCAAATAAGTAGAAAGGCTTTTATGTCATGTTTCTAGGTGGCTTTGCATTTCAGTGGCTTCTATCAGGAGCAATTTGCTCCAGATATTATATTAATCATCCTTTGGTTCCAGAATATAATGCGGCACAAGTGAGAAATCTTCAGGCAGGACATAGCCTTTGAAACGACCCCAGTCAGTCCTCAATCTTGCCTCCCAGCAACACCTTCCCTGCATGACAATTAGACCTTTAAAAAATCTGATGGTCAGTTACAGGACTAGAGTAAGCAGGGTTTTATGGTGTATGAAAAAGATTCTGCAATATATGATGATGATGATGATGATGATGATTTATCTGAAAAGCAGTCCACAGCAAAGCTTCCAAACCATTTCAGGGAACTGTACTTTTCAAATTAAATGGGCATTTTAGACAGCAAAAATCTTAATGTGCCTGCCATTCTTTAGTTCAGCTGACCTGCATGGTGTACTATTCGCATCCCCAAAACTAATCTCTCATTTTTATCAATGTAGCTTAGACTATGATGTGTCACCTGTAATTCAGAAAGGACACATGGAAGGAAAACTAATTCACCAGTTATAATGTGCAAAAACCCTGTCTTCAAAGAGGGCCACAAAGCAAGAAAGCAAGCTACATTTCTGACTGTAATGGAAACAAAAAAAACCCCAATTATATAAGGGAGATGCATTTCTAATGCATATGATGAATATTGTGTAGCTATAATTCTACTGTTCTAGTGTGGTTTCCAGTGTAAAGGGAGAATAAAGACTTATTGCAGCACCTGACTGAAATAAGGTACAATGCATGAAATGTATCCAGATTTTTTGGAATGAGTTAAAGGGGTTTTGCTAGGATTCATACAATCAACAAAGCACTATCCTGAAAAGGCATGCCAATATTTACTCTGATGTCACAGTATGTGTCAAAAGATTTTAGATGTTTGAGAATGTAGTAATACCTCCTGAGTTCTGCAGACATACTTTTGCCTGAAATGAAGCCTAAATGGTGCTTTATTTCATTTATTTATTTAATAGAACTGAAAGATATCCCAAAGGCCATCCAATCCCCCCAAAGTCTGCTAGGCAGGACTACACAGCATCAATCCACTCCCATTCTAAGACTACACAATCAACACATCCTGATAGCTTGTCCTTCTTGAATTCTGGTGCTCAGGATCAAACACACTATTTTAGGTGCAGTCTAACCAAGCACTGGCTTTTTTACCTGCTGCATCACACTTTTGACTCATGTTCAACTTGTAGGCTGCTAAAACTCCTAAATCCCTTTCCTATGTAGTGTGTCAGGTATCACTCATCCTATTAATCTTACTCACACAATACTCTCTTTGCATCCACGCTGTTCTGCTTTTTACCTCCTATCTATTTTTCTCCTCTTTCTCTTGATTCTATGCTATACTCTTGATTTTGGTAGACTGTACATTTTAATTAGAAGTCAAAAGGAAGAAAGGATGCAACAATTTAGTTGTGAAGCTAAAATGTGCTGCACAAACTCAGGAGTCATTAAAAAATTAGATTCAGTGATCTTCATCCCGATTCACAAAGGATCGTTGTACCGATCCATTAACTATGGTGGAAGATCAGTGCCTTCTAACTGAAATAAACCACTCCTTGTTAACTTTTAACCAAGAAGACATTGAAGAGCAAGTGAAGATTACAGTTGATGGGGTGGAAAGAAAAGAGAGATGCAGATGAGTAACAGAAGTGGGCATAAGATGAGATCCCATGGCAGTCATGAGACACAGTCACTCCCATCTGAGCTAGAGGTGTTACATTCCCAAGCATTCCCAGACAAAAATCCTGTTATGGAGTTTGCTGTTTATAGCCTCATCTACACTGCATGATACGAGTCTACACTGACCATATAACCCAGTTTCAAAATGCATAATATGGCCTATGAAGGGGAAAATTGAATGCATTTTTAAAAGACTAAACTTAACTCTTTTGAATGAGCTGACAACAAAATATGCTTCCTTAAGAAACACAGAGCTCCTGGTGGTGCAGCAGGTTAAACCGCTGAGCTGCTGAACTTGCTGGCCAAAAGGTCCACGGTTTGAATCTGAGGAATGGGGTGAGCTCCTGCTGTTAGCCCCAGCTTCTGCCAACCTAGCAATTCGAAAACATGCAGATGTGAATAGATCAATAGGTACCGCTCTGGCAGGAAGGTATCAGCGCCCCATGCAGTCATGCTGGCCACATGACCTTGGAGGCGTCTACAGACAACGCTTGCTCTTCATTTTAGAAATGGAGATGAGCACCCCCCCCCCCCCAGAGTTAGACATGACTTAATGTCAGGGGAAACCTTTACTTTAGGGAGAAAAGTAGCACTCTGTATTCCACAGTATGCTCCAAATGTAGCCTATTAAATAGCAAATGAATTTACAATAGCAAGAATGACACAATTTAAATTGTTAATGTTTATATTGGCAGCTTCCAGTGTTCAGCATTATCAAACTAATTTTGAAATCCAATATTCCAAGCACCGGCGTTTTCCCATCACTACTTCTGTCTTTGCATACATATACATGCAAAAGACAAGACATGGAGAAGAGCATACCACGTGCTCTACAAAGCATACTAAAACAGTTTGTTCTTTTTGGAAGAGCAGGGTACAGAGGTATCAGCGCAGGCACATCACATCGAGGACAAGATGTGGTTAGCCCTGCCACCAACAGGCCGCCTAAGGGAAAACCAGCCAGAAATTCAGCAAATCGTTGAAGTGGAGGGGTCCAGCAAGAGCAGGGATACAACTATGGACAGAACTGCATACTCTCCAGCTCCCCTAGTTTGGCAGGGACGGCCCAGTTAATCCTCTACTATCCCACTTTCTCAACCGCTTTTAAACTGCCAAAGAGGACCTCCAGAAGGGAATACATTTTCTGTAACTATTGAGAGTTTTGAGTTCTTTTTGTTTTGTTTTTACGGAAATAGTCATGGTTTTGCATTCATGCTTCCTCTTGAAGTATTCCTAGGGTACATCTACCTTGTCAAATTAATATAGTTTGATACTACTTTAACTGCCATGACTCAATGCTGTGGAATCAGGAAAGTTATGGTTTTACAAAGGCATTAAGAGCTTTTCTGCCAAAGAGCACTGGAGTCTTGCCAAACTACGTTTTCCATAATTCTATACCATTCGGCAGTTAATAGTGGTGTCAAACTGAATTAATTAGACAGAGAAGATGCAAGCCTAGTTTCTCCTGATAGAAATGGGACAACACTAAGCACTGAAGAATGCCTCACATTGGGCAGTAGTAATAGTAAACTGTTCTCCCTCTATGGGTGCATCTACACTACAGAATCAATGTATTTTGACACCACTTTTAACGAGCAAATTTCAATATTGTAGAATCCTGTAGCTTCACACTATCTTTTTAAGTGGATTTAGATGGGCATTTAACAACCTCCTCTGTTCTGATCCTTATTTAATTTTGGAACTAAGTGGGCATGGTGTGATAATGCTAGACAGCTTATGTGACTGTGGACATATAATTTTTATAGTTTCCTTTTTCCACTAAATACAACAGAGAGTTGTAGTCCAGTGACACACCAGGCACTCTTTGGCAGAGAAGGCTATAGAACTGCAACTCCCATGACTGCATTGCACTGAGCCACAGCAGTTAAAGCAGTGTCAAACTGCATTAAGTCTATAGTACATATGCACCTTCAAACACATTCATTCCTTGTTTTGTTGAAATGGCAAGCTGTTCAACAGCCATACTCCCAGTCGTTAAGCACTTGTGTTGTGGGAAGTTTGAGGATTTGGGTCTAGCACGGGCAAACTTTGGCCCTCCAGGTGTTTTGGACCAACTCCTA